TTTTTTCCAAATTGAAAGTCTACATGAACAGTATTGTTAACAAAACTCTGTGATCCCTAGGTTTTATCCTGAAAAACTCATTACAATTTTGATCACTCTGTACAATCAAATTTCTCTTTAACTCACTGGTTTGGTCCATTCTCAAGTATGCCTGTCTGATTTGGTGTCCCTCCACTGGGTAGTCATCTTGAGAAGGTCCAACACAGGTTGTTGTGCAACTTAGTGTTTCGTGATGGATACCATATTATCACGGTTTTGTCACACCTACACTGATAACTACTCATTGTATAACATTTCTCGTCTTCAGGATAGAAGAACAATCTGTGACCTTATCTTTCTATTTAAAATTTTGTTGGTTGAAATTAATTGTAACAATTTTCTCCCTAATATCGAATTTTGGGTTCCTCTTATGTCAACACTTAATCCTTTGTTATTTTCTGTCAAATCTGTGAAAACTGACTATCGAATGAATGATACCTTCTACTGTATTATGTCTATTCCTAACAAGCATTGTTAATGAATTGATTTTTTCAACATTACTTTCTCGAGGTATGTACATACTATCTGAGAATTGGTCTACGAGTCCACCTGATTTGTAATTAGATATTGTTCCTAAATTTACTCTTTGTGACTTCATTAACATAGATGTATCATATACTGCTATGTTATAATTACATTTATTAAAGGAAATATCCTGTAAAAGTAAATAACTTCCTAAGTATTAAAAAATGTAGGTGGTAAAAAGTGCCAAATAATTCAGAACTTATTTGTCCACCACAGTGTTTTTAAGATGGCATGAACTTTTGAAAGATCAAGATTCAAATTGAAATTCCTTTGTTTGTGTCAAAAGCAGATGATAATGAGAGTGTTATCTTTTAATTTTGTTTCAAATTAAATGTGTTTTAAAATTGTTGTTTTGCAACAGTCAAAAAGGTTACTTGGTGAGATTTTACATTTCAGTTTAAAAGGTTGAGTTCATGGGCTCAGTTTCAAGAATTGTAGTTCAATGAAGATGTTCTTTCGCTGTGTTAAGCATTTTACAACGAAGATCTTCTTTCTTTAGTTTGAGATAAAGATTATCGTTATTTCTAACTTGCAATCTAACTGTTTCAGATCTAACCATTTCTTTTGTGGTCTCCTCCTCCTCCCTTTGCCATACTCGGTTATAATTCAATGCTGTATTTGGGAATCTTTTTTGCTTCATTCTGTTAATGTAGGAACTTCTTTGGACTTTCCCTCATCTCTGACAATTATGTGAATAATACATGCAGTGGTTCTGAAATGCTGTTGGTTTTTCTCACCAAATAGTCATATTATTTAGTCACATTTAATGACCTATTTATTGTAAATTTTTTCCCTTGACATAGTTCAAATCTCTGGCAAGAAAGACAAAGATGGGAAAAGTCACAGAAGACGAAGGAAAGAAAAGGATTCTCAAGAAGATAAAGAAGCTGATGAAGGAAGTTGCAGCGAAGAAGAAGAAGAAGATGTGGTAAATCAAGTGCTAATTGCTTTGTTTTTTTAATTTGTTCAAATAGGAAAGGTAGACAAGGGGATACACAACAACACTAAATGTAATGGAGTAATGTTTTTTACATATATGGGAAAGCTACGTAAGGCTGTGGGAGATGTTGAATTAACGTTTTAGGATCCCAATACTGAAAAAGTGTTTTTACCCTACATGTCCATCCATCTTTGAACTACACTAGCACATAAACCATTAACTGAATTTTTTCCAAAATGAATGTTTCCCAAATCAATCTGGCCCCAAGTCAAGGCCCTATGAATTTGAAACATCTTTTAATTTTTGAGGGTACTTCCCATAAAGCCCCTGGAATGCTTTCAAAATTTTCTCAAAATGATACATATTTAATTTTGCCTTTAAGATTTTTAATTAATGATAAGCAAAATTTTTGACAAAATTAATCATATAAGTAAATTCATAGTTTTGTGCCATTTTGTGTGAAATGTTGGGCAATATTAAAAACAAAAGTTTCTCAAACAACTTTTGCCAAAAGTGCTTTTTACTGTAAATGTTCTCAGAGTAGTAGGTACCATGAAAGTCTCTGGTAGATATTTTAGGTGCCAATGGAATGAAGCTGGAAAAGAGGAATGAATGCTGAGAAGGTCAGACAAAACCAGAAAGTTAGCCCAGTATCAAGAGAATAGGGTACAAAATTATACGAGAAAGTCTGTGTCATTCGGAGGCCCAGTACTTTAACTTACATGTTTATTTGAGCATATACTTTGATTCTGGATTGTATGGCAGATGCTAGTTGCTAGACAAGTTTGGCAGTGTTTCTGCTGTCGTTGGCAACTGTGCATAGAACATGACATTTACAGAACAGGCAAAAATCTAATTGATTCTGGCTGTGAAACATTTGGCTGTGTCTACATTTTCATTGGACAGATTCTTATTCGTTGTTAGAATTTGCCATTTGAATTTGCTAATTTTTCTCCAGTCTCCCACACATTTTGTTATTAATTTTCATTTAGAACTGTTTCCTCATAAAATTCAAAACTTGTTTGAATCTCTGTTTCTGTGTATTTTTTCAGGAGGAAGCATTGCCAGCTGTAATTGAAGATGGTGTCTTCACTATGACTTTAGGTACGGCAAGTACATCAACTGTTCAGGAAACTGTCGTATCAGAATCTTCAAATAAAACAAAATATTTTGTGCCCTCCCCTCGCATGAATTGTGGACTCGCTGTGAAGGGTGGTGTTCTCTACCTGTATGGAGGGATGATAGAAGATGGAGATAGACAGTACACATATTCGGATTTTTATTCTTTGGGTAAGCAAAGTTTGCATTCAATTACTTTCTCACCTACTACTGCTGCTAGAGAACACTGCAGAAACTCGTGATGGTAAAATAGCACATACTTTCTTGCCCATAGAAACTGCTATGTAATATTACTATACCTCAATTCCTGTCCATATCAAAATATCTCAGTCAGTGGGTGCTAGCAACAATAGGCACAGGCGACAATGGACCAAGCCAAGGATGAGCACATATTTTCTTATCTATTCGTGCTAAAAACGCTTGCCATAAACAAAACTGTTTTTAGTTTACATTGTTGTGGTTTCATGAAAATTTTTATAATGCATTCTTTACAAATACATAAAATCATTTTTCACTGTGTCTCCAGGTGTATTCTAAGTTCATTCTTAACTTTTGCTTTTTTTATAAATGCACACTTACAACTAAACAAATTCATAATTAGTCTTTCATAATTATGTCTTCAAACATAAATTAAATAGTTATAAATGTCCGGGAAAGCAGTTAAGCAGAAAGCCCTCTAGAACATTTCAATTCAATTCGAGGAAGTAATTTACTATTTAATTGGACAAGATTTGTCCATTTATTTATTACCAGGGCGCAGCAATAAGATTTCTGTCATAAGTTCACTGTTTTTTTCCCATGTCATTACAATACTTTCTCTATACTCTGTGAGCAGTAGCGAGAAAGTAAAGAGCTGATTTTTTTCCTGAAAACATTTTGTTCATTTTGTGGGGCTCAAATACCAATAACATGGATTGTTCATGCTCCTATACAAAGTAAATTACTTTCTAATGTACTTACTGTGGTCAGGAATAACATTTTGTGTGTTACTGCAGAAATTTTGGTTGTTTTTTCTTTCAAAACATCTGGGAACAAATGGGATCTCTACAGTACACAGACGTTTCACCAAAATGTTTATTCTTTGTTCAGTGCTATAGCACCTAATATTTGAAACGGATCTTTTTTCTTTTTTGGGGTACTTTACATCAAGCCTCCCCCCACCCCTCCAAAAAAAAACATTTTCCTGAGTTTATCACAAATGGCTTCAGCACACTTAATAATATGGCATTGACGTAGTTTTCATTAAAACTTTGGAAAATTCCTTCCGCCTGCACTAGCACATAAATCCTTGAGATGATTTTCTCCAAAATTGAAATTTTATAATTCATTTGTCAGATGTGTGAGTAGACTCTCTTGTCTCCATGTTCTGTGATTTTTTTCTCATGTTCTCATTCTTTAATGCTATTTATAAGTGTAAATGTAAATTGAAAAGTGAAAATATAAATATCATTGGCGAAGTTTCCTTTTTCAATTTTTACTTTTTCGCCCATTCTCTGTATGAAGAGAAAGTATTGTAGTTGTTTGCCAGAAAATAGCGACTTTTCATGTAATAAACTGTGATTGCCAGGTCCTGGCAAAATATAAGTGGATAAATCATATTCCGATGTAGTAAATCACTTTCACTAACAAGTTGTCAGATTCAGAATGTTTTGTGGGTTTTTGATAATGGAAAATCAATTGGCAGGAGAAAAAAAACAAAAAAAACATTGATATCCGTTTGTGGTCAAATGTAGCAACTTAACCATTCAGTCAATTTTCTCCAAAATTGCTATTTTTCGACCAGTTTGAAGAAACTCGAGGCACTGAGTTTCAAACAGATATTTTGAGTTTTTGGAGAATTTCAAATTAATCCTCAACATTTTCAAACGTTTCTCTAAAATAGCTTCAAATTTTTGTAGCAAACTTTGTTCTCAGATACCTCAAAGGGTGCTTAAGAGAAAGGTGTAGGTCTCATTATCATTGAAATCCTTGATTTTTTCAAAAATTCCAAAAGTTCAATATTTTCCTTGCAAATTTTCCTACAACTTTGATATTAAAGGTAGAGATTCTTTTCTGTACGAGATCTGTTCTCTAAAGACAGATATTGAAAGATCATGTACAATGTTTCACAAATATAAGCTGTTTTTGCATAATTATGTGTGAAATACAATTTCGAACAATTATTTTTTCAATAAAAAACTGCACATTCTTTCTTAAGATTTCTTTTGTGTATTGTATCTATCTGGTATATGTATCAAAGGATGGGAGGAAAAGTTGCAAAAGTATTATTTCCGGCAAACACACTGTATTTTCGAAAATTGCAAAAAGTTAACATCACAATTCTAAAAAGTTGTTGGTAAAATTTTTTGTCTTGAACAAAATCTGTTTAAAAAAATTTGCTCTTTAAAAAAGGTCAAGTACAATTTTTTGAAAAATGAGTAGTTTTCATGTAAGTTCTACTTGAATGCAATTTATTCAAATACATTTCTTCAAACAACGCTCAGATATTTCCTTTAAATTTTTTCCACACATAATACAAAGGACACTTAAAAGAATGGTATAGATCTAATTTTTGTTGAAGTCTCTGAAGTTTCAAAAATTGCAAATTTAGAAATAATGCAAGAAAGTATGTATTGATGTAGCACCACTAGTTCAAAATGAAATGTCCATTATTAAACCTTCATTTGGTACAATGCTGTCTGTCATTTGAAGTGATATATTTTCCATTTTCATTGTTGGTGTATTTCTCAGAAGGGTGGATTTTCTTAAATATCTTTTTCCTTTGTGACAAAATACACACAAATTGTGACCAGTGTACTCAGATGTTTCTTCACTCTTTAAGTGTATAAAATCAATTGAGATGTGCCTGATCACATTAATGCTTCCAATCTTTCAGTTTTAACTTTCCTGGTGATAATGAATTAAAGAAATTTATTTTAAAGTTAAATACTTTAACACTTCCAACTTTCAGTAAAATAGTATGCTATTTTACATTTGAATATTTTGGTAATAATGGATTTTAGGCATTACATTAAACGTATGCGACCTATGCAACCTATTTGACTTCATTTTTATAAAATTTGCCGTTTTTTAGCCCTAAATCACTCAAATGAATTGAACCAATAATGAGATGAATGTTTTGCACTTTACCTAGATTCAAAAAAATCAAATGTTATTTTTTCCTCACTTAGGGCCCCCCTAAGCTAGGGCCCAATTGGCTCAGTTTATGGCTTTGCTAAAAATATTGTTTTGGCTGTTAAGAATTTGAATCTTTCTCCTGCAAAATGAAAAATATCTAAAAGGGGGCAGTATCTTAATTGAGAGCTATTATATATTAATTTGGGGATGTTTTTCAATCTGGATATTCTATGTTCAAATTAGAAGTGTATCACATATGTGGTGTTATCATCTTAAAGCATTTGTGCTGATGAACAACTTTTTATTTTCATTTTCCTTTGCAGACTTACACAAACTTGACGAGTGGAAGACCATAATCCCCAATGATTTGAGTACCCAGGAGTGGTTTGAGTCAGATAGTAGTAGTGATAATGAAAGTGAAAATGAAGAGGACAGTGAAAGTGAAGAAGAAGCAATGGAAGAGGACAATAATGAGGAAGAAAGTGATATTACCATGGATGAATTGAAACGTGACAAAAATTGTTGACTGGATTATTAAATGGTGTGAACTACAAATTTGCATTGAATTATTCAGAAAATGCTATTCGCATTGCTACAAGAACAATTTCTTTTCATACAAATTTTTAAGGTAAAATTCCTGAGATACCAAGTACTATCTCTTCTTTAACTCTTAGAGAAGTAAGTGAAAAGCAAATCAATGCAACACACATTACAAAACACCACAAATGACACACGAATGTATTTTATTCATGCAAATTATCCAATAGATGTTATTAATGCGATTCGATCATACAAACCTTATTGTTTCACCTTTTCATTTTTCCCCCTTAAGGGGAAGAAAAATAAAAAGTATTTTGTTTGACTCATATGGATGTCTTTATGAGTAAAAGCCATGATCACATTATGCTTCCAATCTTTTCAGTTTTAACTTTCCTGGTGATACTGAATTTAAAAAAAATTATTTTGAAGTTAAATACTTAACTCTTGCAACTTTCAGTAAATAGTATGCCATTTTACATTTGAGTGTTTTCAGCCTAATTCAAGAGACTCTAGATTTACCTAGAGAAGGGCCATGTTGCTAATCCTGATATGCAATAGGTCTGAGCAATTGAGGAATGACATACATATGTGTGATATATTCATAAGAAATAAATTTAAAAAACAGTAATTATAATAAAAATATGAATGAAAATGTTTATAAATGAAATATCTAACAAAGTTTGTATTTATATACTCATTAGAGAAGAATATTGATAAATTTTAAATCGGTTTTGAAACAAAATTTATTTCTGTTTATATTTCTTAAAATTTGTTCTTAAAAGGAACTTAGAAATATTTTCCCACATTATGGTGTTTCTGAATTATTGTTTACTGTTACTACTGATTGAAACAGCAAATAATCAGTTCATTCTCAGGATGTGTGCTCATGACTTTCCATGCTGCATACTTCATGCATGTCTTATGATATGACCTAGTTTCCTCAATGCTCCTTGCTGCCTCGTTTCCAAGTACTATCCTCCGTTAAATTTCAAATGAAAGTGAATTAATATTTTCTGCTGACAAGGGAAATATATTTTTTCATGTTGTAAAAAGTATGACTGTTGATCTGTTCTTTTTGTGCCGCACACCTGCTGCGAATTACCTTACCGCAGCTCCTGTGCGGTGTTGCTCAGCGAACAGCATGATCCAACGCTTCGATCTGAGACTACCTCGAATCGGGTCAACTTGATTTTCAGGGATGCTTGGCTTGGGAAATTTAGATGACTTACCTGGCTTTGAAATTATATTTTGAAGCATCATATGAGCACAATTATTTACCGCAGCAGCAATTCGTTCGCAAAACGCGTGATTACTGATATTGTATGGACGCAAGTGTTGTCAGATCCCACATCTGGAGGTCATTGGCCCCTCCCAACTGAGAAGGCTCCCCTCGCCGTCGTTCCTCACACCTGATCCTGACCCTCACACCTCACTGTATACGGCGACACTGCCCGTCTCGCGTCTGTGCACTTCGTCGTGCGTTTTTGGTCCTCTGACCTGAATATTTTTCTGCTACGACCGTCCGAATGTTTTCTCTCACCGAGAGCCCTAGTACATCTCTCCTCTGGGAGATTACGTGTTTCTCCTGCTACAACTTGCACGCTTCTCTTACCAGCACCTGAGTACATTTTTCTCCTCGTATAACCTGCACCCCATCGAAGTGGCTCGGTCCACATCATCACGACAGGATGCACAGATCGCTCTCGAGATTTCCTTTCTCCATCTTTCATCCCCTTGCATTTCATTTCATGTCGCTTACATTATTTTATCACCCCATTTTTCTTCCTTGTTTGCCTTCTCTGAACGCCCACTCATGCTTGCCGTGCATGGCGGCCCATGTCGAAGGAAATAGGGGACCTGGGAGTAGGATCTGTGCATGCTTTTTCGACAGCCACCTTGGCGCCTGATGTTTGTAGGTAGACCTCATGTAGCTACGTTCACTTCGAACACCGTTGAGCCTTGGTGAGGGGATGTCTCTGCACCTTGCAGGTTCCAACACATTTTCTTTTGGCCTCGGGACTCTTGTAAACAGGCAATCGGGAGTTAACCCATTCTCGATTACTAGGACTTGTACTGAACTCCACGGCGGGTAAGCGCTGTGACGTCCCCCCGCTATCTCTCCGTGTCAGCTCTAGCACTCAGCGAGGTGCCACCGTATTGGACTCCATGGTGAGTGGGGAACGTGCAGAAGAATTACTGTCCATTGTATGGATATCAAATCATCCGTCCCCCGTTTTCTTCCGCAAGGAAGAGATGTCAGGAACGCAGTATCGATGTGAATAGCTTCTTGCTAAAAGACGAAGACAGGCCGAACTAGCATCTTTTCCTCATGGCATGGAGGATGTAAAATCTTTCAAAAATAAGTGTGCTGTTGATTTGGCGCACGCTATTGTGGAAACGAATGGGAAAATACAAGCCGGGTGCGACAAAGCAATGATACCCGAAAACAAATTGAAACGATTCGGAAAACAAGCAGTTTGCCGAGTTCCAGGTGGAAGTGACCACCCATCCAACACTTATCCTCTGTAATTTTGGTTCTGAGAGTGAGGAACAACTACGCGTATTTTAAGAGTCAAAGTTTGACGGACGTTTACACGATAAACAGAAAGGAGCATGGGCGAGAAATCTCCCCTTCTACCTTGATTCTGACCGATCTTCTCTCCCTGAAAGGATCCCCTGCGGTTTTATAACCTCCCCTTGCAACGGTCAAGACCACCTGTTTGTAAGCGACTATTACCTCACTAACATCCACAGTGATGAATTGTTCGTGGGTTAACTCGACTCCCTCAATGGTGTACACAACGTGCTGAATGTCCTAAATTAAATACTAATATCAGTCTATTAGAAGAAAACCTTGACGGTGTAATGACAGCACATTTTAACAGTTCTGTACAACATGATACGGATATTGCAATTCCTAAATTGTGCAGTAAACCGCGACACCCTTTCGTGCCGTGGTGGAACATGGACCGCTCAAGGGCGATCAGTGCCCGTAAAAGGCGGTGGCGCGTCTGACACACAATTCAACCGCCGATAAGCTAATTGATTACAATATATGCAGAGCAAATGCAAGGAATCTTATAAAGTAAGAATTCATCGTGGAGAACATACGTGTCCCGCAGTTGCCATCACGCCACCACGACTTGTATGGAGGAAGATGTGTCAAGTCAAGGGATATTCCTCCCCACATTCAATACCAGGTCTTACGAATGGTGAAATGATTTTATCACGAGACGCATTTGTTGATGAACTTGCCGCTCATTATGAAAACATGAGTTCGGCGAACTATGTTCCAGACTTTTGTTCAAAAAATGACAAACCGTGTTTTGGATTTTTTTGAACAACCCATTTTTACAATGTCCCATTCTCCGTATATGAAATGCACTCTGCCGTGGCGCTTGCGAAATGATCTGCCTCAGGTCCAGATGAAATCTGTAACGAAATGCATCTCCCTGAAACGGCCATGCAATTTATCACCAGACTACAACCGTACCTAGGAAGAGCATACTATTCCTGCTCTGGCGAGAAGTCATTCCAGTTCCCAAAGAAGGGAAAGATCAATTATTGCCATCAAGCTATCGATCCATTTCTCTCACAAGCTGTGCTTGTAAAGTGTTGGAACGCGTGGTGAATCAGCGTTTGGTCTGGACCGTGAAGTGTAAAAATCTTGACGCCAATCCAAAGTGGGTTTACGAGAAACTGGTCAACCTTGGACCATCTCGTTACGTTCACAACTGCAATATCGTAGAGAAATATATCCGTTCGACGTACTTAACATTCAGCTCTTCCATCTCACGCTCAAACAACCCGTAAAACATCACGCCAAACCAACCCGAATGCAGGAGCTGAACCCTACCAAACGGGTCACTGACCGCGCTATATCTTCTACCTCTCTCTTGTCCTTCCTCTCCCCTTACACATACACACACTAACATGCATTGCACAAGCACACCTGCCGGGGGGCCGGTCGGGAGCTTAGGGCTTCTCCCGGCTGGAGCGGTCCTCCACTGGTGGGAGATACCTGATTGGAGACAACCCCGCTATCCGACGGTAGGTCGGCGTCGGATCTTGCCATACAGCTAGGGAAAGATAATCGCCACCTCCCGAGCAATAACGTGCACACAACTACGGGACTAATGACGATGTTAATTGTGCCCGAAATCTCTAAAAGAACCAACCGTAGACTACTAATTAGATGTGTTGCCCCTTATTTTTATTTACGTTAAAAACTGTGTATGACGTGCTATGGGGAGAAGTTAATTTGTAGTTACACTTATGTCCAGAAGCAAAACAAGGTGCCATCTCAGCATTTGCTCGTGGATCAGGGAAACTGGACGAAAACCTGATCGAGATGGGTATGGTGAGTGGTACATCATGGGGAGCCGACCGCATTTGCCTATTGCGGCTATATAGAATACTCATCCGTTCAGTTTTGGATTAGGTAGTAAAGTGGACGGATCTGTAGCTCCTTGAAGTAGACGAATCGTGTGCCTTCTAGCTAAAGCTGGAGAGCCATCCTTAAAAAGGAGGCGGGATATTCTAATAACATCTTATGGTGCTAAAGTGTCAACCAGCCTTGTCGCCGAATAATTACACCATGTAACGATATTTTGTTTCGTTTTTTTATTTTTGATGGCATTAGTTTCAAAACAACTATGTAACCACAATTTTCCACGTGGGAAATTTATTTTAAATGAAATGGCATGCGATTTGACTTAAATGTAAACTATAATTTGTGTGTATATATATATATATATATATTACACGACACACACACTCACTCATACGTAGGTCGTCTTCCGAAAGTAATGCCTCCCAAATTTTTTTGGTGAGCTTATGATCAAAAACAAATGTTTGCGGTCTTATAGTGGAATTTGAACGTTCCGACCGCCCGCTATTGTCACTCGCCAGATAGAATCAGTGACAGTGTGCCAAACAGGCGTGTAACGTGAACGCGCGTGAGAAACAGATGCGTAATTGAATTTCTCTCGTCGGAGGAAATTGCGCCTATTCACAACCATAGACGCTTGCTGAACTTTTACGGAGAGCAAACAGTGGATGTGAGTACAATGCGGCGATGGGTAGTGACAGCGACGTGAAAGACAACGTTGCTGTCGGCCAGGCACAGCTACCACACCAAGCAATCGACCAACTTATTCGCGCATATACTAGGGAATTTCGTGCGGCTATGAGCATTGGCTTCAATGCATTAGAAGTTATGCTCAGTAAATTAAGCTACCTGAAATTGTGCGCAAAGTGGGTCCCGCGAGCACTAACAGAGGAACACAAACTTCACCGAATGGAAATTTGTGAGGAATTTTTAGCGCAATACGATGCTGAATGTGGCGGGTTTCTGGACAGAATAATCACTGGTGACGAGACGTGGTGTCTTCATTATGAGCCAGAAACCAAGAGACAGTCCATGGAGTGGCGCCATACGAATTGATTGAGAGATACTTGTTTCCATTATGGAGGAGTACAGCTTTCAGAGTCTTGAAGGAGCTATCAATGAAGTGACCAGTCTTTCGGATCATAGGGAAACCCTATTTCTTTGAAAAGGTCTAGCACATTGTGACAATAGCACCACTTGTCTGTCAAAATGAAGTATTGTGAGAAAGTTTCGTGGCGTTTCCTCTGGCTGGATATTTTGCAACTCTTACCCCTTTATTTTAGTATCGATGTTAGAATTTCTGCTTTGAATTATGTAAGTCTAGATTCCTGATCAAGACATTTAACTCGTTTTGTATGGGGTAGTGAGGTGTAGTATCTTCATCATTTAGGAAGTCCTTTTGTTTTCAATTTCAGTATTTGATTCTCTACTGCTATCTTCAGACTCATTACTGGTTGAAGAGGAGTATGAAGTTTCTCACCGTATGAAATGGGTCTAAGAGATGATGGATAGTCTGGATATGTAAAAACATTGTTTTTCTTACACCTCTTGTGATGAGACAAGTCAGTTAGTTCTCGCCAAATTCTAGGTACACCAAATTTTCTTTTTCTGTTTAG